TACGAAGAACGGGCCCCAGATGTGGAGTAGGTAATGTTTGCAGTATAAATTACTATGGTGATGCACCTTTGAGTACAGATACCAGGGTCAAGTTCTGCCTCTGGGCTACAAACAGAGCTTTCCACCTGGATCCTGATCCAGGACGCAAGTTCAGATTAAACTCTGACTTTGTTCATCTGGAGATTAGATGAAGTTGTTTAACAGACTCTGCCAGGTGATCCCTCTGACTCCTCCCCTCCTGCTCCACCTGAAGCAGCTGACTGAGTTCATAAAACACTAAAGTTTCAGGTAGACATCAGTTTTCTCTATCACAGCTTAAATAACCAATCAGACGTGAGGACTGACAATAAACCGAGCGGGTGGAGGGAGTGTGACCCCTCAGGTAACAGCGAGACTCGGCATCCTCACCCAGTGTGGGACAAATGGTTTGGGCTGCAAAAACGAGCGGCCTGGAAATGAAACACAAAAGCTTCTGAAACAAGCCGAGCAGACAGAACCCACCCACAGAAGAACCGTCCACAGAAAAAACAGCCACAGCAAAAACTGTCCACAGCAGGACCCGACCTGAGTCACAGTGAGCTGATTCATGGGTTCATGCTCGGCGCCCAGTGTGAATGGTGGCGTTCACTCAGACTGATGATCTGCAATCTCCTGAGGTTATGTGTAATAAGTTTCTTAATTTCTTTGTGGATAAGGTTGCCAGTTTGAGATCCTCCACTTTATCTTCTGTTGGCCTGGCTGTGCATGTTTCCTGTTTAAATTAATTGTTCTACCTGAACTAGAGAAGCTTGTGTTAACTGCTAACCCGTGTGGTTCTCCGAATGATGTCGCTCATCCCCGTTTTCTAAAAAAAGTGTTTCCTGCTGTTGGACCACATATTCTGAACCTAATTAATACCAGCCTCTTGTCAGGTCAAGTACCAAGCGAGTTTAAGCTTGCAGTTATTCATCCCTTACTTAAGAAGCCAGGCTCAGATATTTCAGTTCAGTCAAACTTTAGACCCATCTCTAAATTTCTTTTTCTGAGTAAGATCTTGGAAAAGATTGTTCACACTCAGCTGATGGATTATCTAAACAACTCTCAAATGTTTGAAGTTTTTCGGTCCGGCTTTAAGTCGTTTCATAGCACAGAGACAGCTGACTGCTGCATCTGACACAGTGGATCACGACCTGCTGATCTCTCGATTACAGCTTTGTGTGGGCATTTCTGGCTTGGCACTCCTGTGGATAAAATCATATCTCTCCAACAGGAGCTTCTGTGTTAAGTTGGGCTCGTCATCTTCCTCTGTGGCCCCTCTGCCGTGGGGTGTACCACAGGGATCTACTCTTGGGCCATTACTGTTTAGATTGTATCTCCTGCCACTGGGTGCGATCTTTCGTAAACACAAAGTGTCATTTAATAACAATAATAATGCTAATAATAAATTTTATTTATGAGCGCCTTTCAAGTCACCCAAGGACACTTTAAAATAGGATAGAATGGGTTAGGGTTAGGCGCCCCAGCCAGGCGCGCCAGCCGCGTTCACTCAAGCCGGAAGTCTTCAATTTCATTTATATGCTGATGATTGCCAGTTTCATTTTCCTTTCAGTCATTCTGATAGCTCTCCAGTTAGACTCCTGCTTGATTGCCTTAGTGATGTTAAGTCATGGATGGCTCAAAACTTCTTAAATTTTAATGAACGTAAAACGGAAGCAATTCTGTTTGGCCCGAATCGTTCCTCTGATATCCCTGATGTTGACCTTGCTGCTCTGACCCCTCACCTGAAGAGCTCGATTACCAATCTTGGGTTAAAAATCGACTCTGCACTTACCTTTGATGGTCATGTGAATGGGGTGGTGAAATCATCATTCTATCACCTCAGGCGTCTGTCGAAGGTTAAACCTTTTCTTTCAAGGCATGATTTGTAGACTGTTATCCACGCTTTTATAACCTCACGCTTGGATTATTGCAGCTCCATTTTAATAGGGGTTGGGCTGGCCACTCTGACACGCCTGCAACTAGTCCAGAATGCTGCGGCACGGTTTTTATCTGGTAAAAGGAAATTTGAGCACATTACTCCGGTTCTGGCCTACCTTCACTGGCTTCCAATTGAATTTAGGATTCATTTTAAAGTTCTTTTACTGGTTTTTAAATCTTTAAATGGTCTGGCACCTGCATATTTAGAAAGAAAGAAAGAAAGAAAGAAAGAAAGAAAGAAAGAAAGAAAGAAAGAAAGATAGATAGATTTGTCTGATTTGCTGAAGCCCTTTGTCCCCACTCGTTCGCTCCGGTCAGCTGAGCAGCTGTGGCTCTCAGTCCCCAAATCACGGCTGAAACTGAGAGGAGACCTATCGTGGCTCCTAAACATTGGAATAATCTTCCTCTTCACATTAGGCGATCGACATCAGTGATGGTTTTTAAATCCAGATTGAAAACGCATTTTTATTCACTGGCTTTTGACTCAGTGTTTGACTGACTTTACTTATATTTTATTGTTTTCGCTATGTTTATTATTTTATCGTATTTATTAATTCTTATGGTATCTATTATGTTTCTATTGTTCAGCACTTTGGTCAGCCTTGTATGTTTTTAAAGTGCTATATAAATAAACGATGATGATGATGATGTTTGGAGACGATGAGGTCGACGTCTAGCTGAACACACACCTCTGTGGTTAACATGATTTCTTACCTGCCTCAGTACACCCGTGTGCTCCTCCCTGCTCGTTGGTCAGTGGTGGTTCGCTCCTTCAGCAGATTAATGATGGCGCCCACGTCACTGAGAGGTCGCATGCTGCAATTCCTGCTTGAACCAAAGAGTGGTGTGAGGTGGTTGGAGTAAAGGTCCAACAGGTGGACCAAACCATCTGCTTTGGGGTTATTGTTTCCATGGGTTCCCCTCTCTGTGTGTATGGTGGTGTGGTTGACTCAGGCTCTGTGGTGATATTAATGTGGTTTTTGGCATGTTTGGGGGACCAGCACCCTGCTGGGAGCGGCACACCTGTACCTGTCAGCTGGTTTCCATGACCACAGGTGGACTCATTGTAGGGCCTGAGGTCTAGTTTCATTAAGGCAGAGTCTGTGTTACTGTCTGTGAAATAATGTCATTATTCTGGGACTTCCTGTGGTCAGCCTCAAACCTGCGGTTGCTAAAATGAGCAAAAACCCTGGAAGCTGCTCGGGGATCCATGGTGTGACGACAATCAAGATCTTAGTAGGTTTTCTTGGGTTTAATGAGCTTTCTCACAGTTCAGGGAGTAAACAGCGGTAACGTGGAGGTCCTTTAACCCCTTGCCTGCTGCCTTCTAACACAATATTTTAACTTTGCGGGATAAATGAGGAAGAAGCTGAGTCACAGCGATTCTTCTTTTCACAGGAAACATTTTCAGACATTCAGCACATTTCTGCCCTCCAGCTCTCCAACAGGAAGCAGAAGAAATGCAGCTGGCACAGAGGACGTGGCTTCCAGGGCTCTGAGGTCCCTTTATACTGAGCTCTCACCTGCAGGGGGAACCTCCTCCTCCACCTGCTGCAGGTTTCTTGTCCTCACGTGCTGAGTTTTTTTCTCTTTGTCACCTCCCCTCTGCATGTATTATTGTAGGGTCTACCTTATAAGAGATGACTGTTGTGATTTGGCTCTGTATAAATAAAATTGAATTGAATCTGGTTTAAACTTAAAAACTCAAATATTCTTCTCCACCACCACCAGCACCTAACCAAAAATAAGAAATCCTGAAAACTGCAGTGCCTCTGGTGTCCAGCAGAGGCAGCAGTGAGTCATAGACTCCAATGTTAAAATAAACATGCTCACAGCCTGATACACAAACTGGTCTATATAGATACCAAAGCAGCTTCATGTTCAGAAATTGTATTGAACTTGGCATTATTAGGGGTGTGGCCTCTGTGACTGATGTGGATGGTGAAACAGGTGGCTGTAGCTGCTAGCTTCACCTGAACCTCCACCTGAACATTGGAGGTGAGCTGACTGTTGTTGACCCTGATATGTGTGTGTGTTGTGTTTCTCATGAGGAAGCATCAGAACAGTCTGATCCACGAGTACATTTTAATGGGAGCTTCAGTCCTGACACGGGCCAGCAGTTTGGATATACAGATAGAAAAGTCAGAGTACATGAGGATACTAAAGTTTATAAATGTGAATCAGGACCTGCTGCACACTCAGCACACTCTGACTCTGTGACCTAAACAAGCTTTGCAGGTAAAAAGGTTACACAACCTCCTACAGTCCATACTCAGGGCACAGGAGCCCCTTTGCAGAGATGCATGGGTTATTTAAACCCTGCCCCAGACTTTCAGGCAGGTGAAACCTTCACAGACGACTCTCCTCCTCAGGCCCCACAGCTTCCTGTCTGTTCTCTGATGATGTCACTTCGGGAGAGTATGAGATGGCGGGAGAGTCTGACATCGAAGGGCTGCAGAGAAAACACAGCATCATCTCTATCATCCTCACAGGCATCGTAGCCTGCAGGATCGTACCTGACCGCATCACATGGTTTCGTACCTGACTGCGTCCAGCGCAGCGCCACCGCTGCTTTCAATTGTGACTTCGGTAACGGGCAGAATGTAAGCGACATGCGAGGAACCTGCCTCTACTGGCTCCGCCTCTGGCCTATTTACCTGAGAGGTGGCACTTGCTGTGAAGAAAGGGGGCGGGATTTGTTTTAAACTTCTTTAACTTTCAAAAGTGACCTGTCTGTGTGTGTGTGTGT